GAAAAATACCGGATGGTTTCACTCATAGCAGGAGTATAATGGACCAGGCGAGAAAATAACAAAAATAATGAACAACCATAGACCAGAGACATTCTGTGGGGGTGGAGTGGGGAATGGGATCAAAACCGGGGGTGGGGGAGGGAGGGAAATGCACGGGACCATGGTGGTGGCACAGGGGTGATTTGGTGACGGGAAACCCGTGGGGATTACAATTGAGATGAAAAAAAAATGTGCAAAATGATGTAAAAATAAACTTTTTAATAAAAAAAAAAAAAGAGGGGAGCTGCCAGATGAAAACTTGCCTGGTTTTTAGTCATCAACCTTCAGTGATTTGCCTTCAAGTAAACATGGCTTTCTCCATGTTGAGTGCTGACCTAAAACAGCAAGAAAAGTGCTATGATGCTAGGAAGGGACTTTAAGGGATATATTCTAAATTTTCAACTGGACCTCACTATTGAGGGCGGGGTATTAGTAACTCCATTTTCCAGGCTCCAATAACAATTGTGATGATTAGGGGCCTCCCTTGTGGTGCAAGGGGTTAAGTCTCAGCACTATGGTGATGTCCACAGCCACTGCTGCTCTCTGTTCCAGCCAGGGAGGTGACCCACATGGTATAGCAGACCTTGTATGTCTTGCTTGTTGCTCCCCTCAGCAGTATTTCGGTCTGAGGGATTTCAGTCTGCCTATTCTGTTCCCTGCTCTGTTTCTGGTGAACCCTCTTACCCTCCACAACCTTGGCCTAGACCCCAGCTCTACTGTGCATAAACAACAACAACAAAAATCTTTTAAAATAATTGTGATAGGCCCTCCCTGGTGGTGCAGAGGGTTAAAGCATAGCACTAAGAAACTTAAGCTACTTCTGCATGAGTTCGATCCCTGCCTGCCCCAGAGGTGATCCACATGGCGCGGCAGACCTCTCCTGACCCGCCTGCTGCTCCCCTCAGCAGTGTACTTCATCCATCTGCCTCTTCTGCTCCCCACTCTGTCTTTGGTGAATCCTCTCACCCTCCACATCTCTGGCCTGTACCCCAGTTCTGTATGAATAAATAAATAAATCTTTAAAAAAATAATTGTGATAATTAATGAGTAAATGCATGCTGCTTAAAATGCATTTACTGTTCTGACAAGTATTGCATACATGTGTGGGATGCTGTCACTAAGTCTCAAAAGAACCTGACTCATATGACATCCAGGCAGAGAAAGAGGACTGAAAGATCAGGCAATTTGGTTGAATGACATCAATGACAGAACTAGGATTAGAATGTACTTCTGCTGTCTACTATAGTCTCCAATGACATCAGTGTGCAACAATTGACCATTTGAAATATGGCTGGTTCAAACTGAGATGTGCTGCAAGTGGAAAATATACATCAGATTTTGAAGATGTAGTATGAAAAAGTAATATAAAGTATCTAATTAGTAATGTTTCATACTAAATGTTGAAAAGATATGTTGAATATATTATGTTCAATAAATCTTTCAATGAATTTCACCAATTTTGCTTGGCTTTAGACTATCTTCTTATAAGCTTCTGTGGGGAGGCCCTTCCTGGTGGTGCAGTGGGTTAAAACACAACACTATGAAGTTATCAGCAGCCACTGTAGCACCAAGATCGATCCCCTGCCTGGGAGGTGACCCATATGGCACAGCAGACCTTTCCTGACCCGCCCGCTACTCCCTTCAGCATTGTATTTCAGTACATCTACCTGTTCTATTCTCCACTCTGTCTCTGGTGAATCCTCTCACCCATACCTCTGGCTTACACCCCAGTTCTTGTATGAATAAATAAATAAATTTTTTTTTCAAAGAAGCTTCTGTGCTATGAGAGCCAAATGGAGGAAGAAATAAATGTGCAGTTGAAGCACAAAAGAAGAAAGATGGGTCAGAAGCCCAAGTTAACCACAAGTTTGTGTACCTGTGGAAGCAACAGAAGCAGAATAAGGAATGCTAGCAGTGAGGGCTGATGGCACAAATTGCTGGGATGCATGCTACTATATATAACTTGTCTCAAAGGATCTAGAACATTCATGGCTACCTGATTGCCTTGATCAGCTTTGAGAGATCCACTTTTCTCATTTCTAAGAGCTTATTTTGGTTCTTTGATTAGACCAGTGAATTTATGGACTAATTTCACTCTCATGTAGCTGAATGTAATACATGTACAATAAATCACCCATTCTGCTGTCTTAGTTGAAAAATAAATATCACTCATTTTATTTTTAATGTTGCTACTAGAGCACTTAAAATAACATGTGTCTTGTGGTATGTTTTTATAGGACAGTGCAAATATAGAATTTGCATTATTGCCTCGACACTGACTTCTTTTCTTTTGCATAGAAGGACTAGATTGTGCAGGGGGTGAGAGGATTCATCATAGAGAGAACAGTGAACAGAACAGGTGGATTTACTGAAATATACTATTGAGGGGAACAGCAGGTGACAAAGGAGAGGTCTGCTGCACCATACATGGGTTAGCTCTCTGGCCAGGGATCTAACTTAGGCTTTAGGCTGATGTAGTAATAGTGCTGAGGCTTAACCCCAGGCCTAGGGGGAGGCCCCAACATTGATTTTCTCAGAACATGGGTGGGGGTAGTGAAGTCAGTGTGCACTGTCAATTTAGTCCTCGGACCACCACAGGTTCTTGTCCCATGAAGCTGTGAAAAGGAATTCACAGACATTTTAGATAAGTAAGCAGAGAGAAGCAAACTTTGGTCAAGAAGTAAAGTTTATGCCCCTCCCTGTTGGTACAATGGGCTTAAGTGCAGCACAGCGAAGCTAGACACAACTTCTTGGAACTGCGAAGCAAGAGTTCGATCGCCAGCCAGGGAGCTGACCTATATAGTGCAGCAGACATCTCCTGTCTCACAGGTTGCTCCTCTCAGCAGTGTATTTAGTCAATCTGCCTGTTCTGCTCCCCACTCTGTCTCTAGTGAATCCTCTATTCCCTGCCCCTCTGGCCTATACCCCAGTTCTTATATGCATCAGTAAATAACTCTTTTAAAAAATTTACTCTTCTTATTAGCCTTAAATTTTTGTTAAATATTTATCTATGCATACAGAACTGGGGTACAGGCCAGAGTGGGAGGGGCAGTGAGAGGATTCACCAGAGACAGAGTGGGGAGCAGAACAGGCAGATTAGTGAAGTACACTGCTGAGGGGAGCAGCGGTCAAGATCCCTGAAGCTACCTAATTAACCTTAACTTGCCCTAGGACTGTAGGATCTGTAATGTTTATAATTTCTCCACCAATTCCTTGTAGAACTGTAACAGGTTGGCCCCCAAGAAAGGGGAGGTTGCAGGTTCCCTGACACACCCAAAAGAGGGTGGAGCTTAGCAGAGAGAGAAGAATCTGGAGAGGAGACTGAAGGGGAAAGAAAGAAGATGGAGAGCCAGAAGGTGACTTGAGAAAATCACAGGGAGTAGAGGGACTTGTGAAGAAGCAGCTCTTATTATTTTTTTTTTTTTAAAGATTTATTTATTTATTTGTGCATACAGAACTGGGGTATAGGCCAGAGGCTCAGGGGCGGTGAGAGGCTTCACCAGAGACAGAGTGGGGAACAGAACAGGCAGATCAAGAAGTACACTGCTGAGGGGAGCAGCGGGTGGGTCAGGAGAAGTCTGCCACACCATGTGGTCACCTCAGGGGCAGGCGGGAATCGAACTCATGCAGAAGCGGCTTTAGATTCTCAGTGCTGTGCTTTAACCCGCTGCGCCACCAGGGAGGGCCCAAGCAGCTCTTATTTTTGTTCCTGGACTGTTTGAAACAGATGTGTGTGAGAGACCCATGGGAAAGTTCACTATGGCAGCATCTTGATTTTGATTATGCTCTTTTCTTCCCAGACTTGTCTGGCCATTTCTGACCCTTTTCTATGGGTCTCCACCAGAAGGTGCTTTAGACTTATGGTGGGCTTTCAGGCCTTGCTTTAGACCAATCCCTTTTGGGTGGACTTTTACCCACAAGGGGATGGGTAATTTTTGAGTGTTTGATTTAAAAACTATATTCTTTGTCTGTTCTGTAGTGTACACTAATTGTATTAAAGTACCTTTCCACTAAAGGGCTTATATGTTTTGTCTTGATGCCACAGATGGCACAACCCATTTTGAGAGGCAGGTTTGGGGGTTCAGGGATGCCCTTCTCCCTGCCCTGTTACAGAACCTTGAGCAAATCATATCACTTTTGGAACCTCAGCTTTTACATCTGTGAAATGGAATTATATCAGTATCTACACCATAAGGATTTAAAGCAAATGGAATAACATGCCTGAAGCACTTAGCATTGGACTAGGCATGGATCTTAGCCATTACCTTGACTACAAGTAATGTTAGTTGAGTCCCATGCTCATCTGTAAATGGAGAAAGATTTTATTTGAGGAATGAGAACTTTTTTAAGTAGTTGACATCAGCAAATACTGTCTCTGGTGTCTACCACTTGAAGACCTCTTATAGGCAAGAGAAAAGTCCAGCAGGACAGATAGCTTTGAGGCCCAGAGAGTGAAGACCAAGGTCACACAACCTTGCTGCAGGTGGGGCTAATTGAAACATAAACAGCACTTAAACATTTTTGTAATTGTATGATGACGGATGGTAACTAGACTTATTGTGCTGATTATCTCACAGAGTGTACAATATGGAATCACAGTATTGTATATCTGAAATTAATGTAGTGTTAGTTTCATTTACACCTTACATGTGTCAGTATACCTTCATAAAAAGGAAGCGCTGTGACTCTGTCCTTGAATTTTAACCCTCTGGGCGTGACCTAAAGCAACACGTTTATTGTTTGGTCGTTTGCAACATCACTTCCAAGATATAGCTGGTGGGGCAGAGACGTGGCTAAAGCCCTTCTAACCTCGAAGTTCAATTACACACTCAATATGGCGACCTCTTCCTGCCCCCGCCCCCACCCCGCCGCCGCAGACCCGCCACACTTTAGATGGCCGACCGCGCTCTTCGCGCCGCTTCCGGTTCCGATTGCTTTGGGCCTCCCGCTACCCTTCCCCTCCCCTTTTTCCTCCCGGACACGCTGACTACCTGGGAGCAGAACTATGGCGGATGGTCCAGTAGCTGAAGTGCTTCTGAGGAGGCTGGAGGCGGCCGATGGCGGCCTGGACAGCGCGGAGCTGGCGGCCGAGTTGGGCGTGGAGCACCAGGCTGTGGTGGGCGCCGTGAAGAGTCTGCAGGCGCTGGGCGAAGTGAGTCGTGCATGGATGCTGGGTTCTTAGCTTTAGCTCCTGTTGTCCCTATTCCTGGTGGGCCCTGCCTCCCGACCAAGTTCCTATAGGTCCGGGTAGGAGCAATTGTAAGTTCACCTCCCGGGGGCCGAGGCGGAGTCAGGAACGAGTGGCCGACGGACGTACCGTACGACTTTCCTCTTGCAGTAGGCGTCTTTGGGAGCCTGTATTAGTACTAGGAGGTCGAGTTCCGAAGGTGGACAAGGAAGATGCCGTCGCCGTTTTCACTGAGGTTGACGTCTAACAGAGGGAATGGTCAAGTGAACAGAGTGATGGAGGAAGAAAAGGGACTCATAGTTGACAGCTCACCCACCCTGGGGGTCAGGGAGAGGGGCCTAGAGTAAATGATAGCTGAGTCTTGGTCCCATGGAGGGAAGCCATCACATTTTAACATGCCTTAACTCTGGCAGAATGGCATTGTTTCTTTGCACATGTCACAGCTTCTAAGCACTGATCAGTAACTTGGATCAGGGTCACTAGAAGGAATGGGTGATAACCAGATTTGAAATAGAGTGACCAGGCTACAGAATGCAAAATGTTAGTTCAGAGAAGAGCTGGAGGTTGACAGTACTTGAAAATGTGAAGTTGACATTTGTATAGGTCACAAAGGGTTAAATAGTAATAGTTTGATGTAGTGCAGCAGTAGTTAGAGTGCAGTGATAATGTAGCAGTCAAGGCAATAATGCAGTGGTAGTTCAGTTTTCTGCTGCTTGTTGCATGCTAAGCACACCCTATATACCCCTTCTGTGTATCAAATCATTTACTCCTGTGTATCAAATCATTTACTCCTTGAAAGGACCCACCAAGCTAACATGCCTCTCTTCTGTGGATAAGAAAACTTGCTCCAGAGGTTGAACAACTTTCCCAATGTAACAGTGAGTGAAGAACAGAACTGGAAATTAGAAAAGAGAGGGAGCTGCTGCCCAACTGCAGCTTCATGCCCCGAACTATTCCTCATTTTGGAGCCTGGGGTTCTTCTCTGTCATGTGACTCTCATGGGTCCTTATCTGACTCTCCAGCTGCTGAGATACAAATACATTGATATGGAGTCCAATTAATTTACTTGAGGCCTTAATCTTGCAGGCTCAAATGCAAAGTATATTGTGCTCTGCCAGGTAGCATCCTCTGTACTTTACCTTACCATAGGATATTTGAGCCATCTTTGTCATGACCTCAGTGTCACAATGGGAAACTGAACTCCGTAATTGGAAAGCACTACTGGCAAGTGGTGCAAATGGGATGTGAAGCTGGCTTCAGGGGTCATGCAGCCCTAGTGCTTCTGTGAGAGGTGCCTGACTCTAAACCCTGTCTTGTTCTATGTCCTCCCCACACTTCCTGCAGATCATTGAGGCTGAGCTACGCTCTACCAAGCGCTGGGAACTGACGGTTGAGGGCCAGGAGATTGCCCAGGAGGGCAGTCATGAGGCCCGGGTGTTTCATTGTGTTCCCCCAGAGGGCCTGACCCAGAATGCACTCATGGTAAGGGTCTGGGGAGAGGGCCTGTGAAGATAATGGGGTTGGGGGGATATAGATGCCCTTTCACTGTAGTCTTATTTCTCTAGCAACTGCCCAGTGGCAAAGTGGGCTTCAGCAAGGCCATGTCCAACAAGTGGATCCGAGTGGACAAGAGTGCACCTGATGGTCCCCGGGTTTTCCGAGTGGTAAGTTCTTGCAGGCAGATGGGTGTGCAGGCAGACTGATAGGCCCCTGGACCCCATCTCATGTACTCTATCACCCTTCATCGGAGTAGGTAGACAGCGTGGAAGATGAGGTACAGCGGCGGCTCCAGCTGGTCCAAGGTGGGCAGGCAGAGAAACTGGGTGAGAAGGAGAAGAATGAGCTGAGGAAGAGGAAACTACTCATGGAAGTGTGAGTGGGTACTGCCTGGGAGTTGGGGAGAAGTGTTTTGGTGGAGGAGAGGTAGCTGTTCCTTTCTGCACCGAGCTGACCATCCTCTCTCAACCCCACTGTGTACTATGGTGCTCATGCACACATCCCAGGGATTTTGTCAGTGCTGCTCTTTCTGCTGAGAACTTTTCCCCCACTGATCTTCAAGACAGGCTTCAGCATCATACCCTTGCTTGTATGTCACCTTAGAGACTACTCTGATACCTTTTTTTCCCTTTGAGTTCCACAAAAGTCCCACGTTCTTATTTTCTATCTTTATGCTCTGTTTCTTTCTTTCTTTCTTTTAATATGATTTATTTATTTATACAAAAACTGGGGTGTAGGCCAAAGGTGCTGGAGGTGAGAGGGTTCACCAAAGACAATCCTGGGAAACAGAATGGGTGGACTACTGAAAAACACTGCTGAGGGGACCAGCGGGTAAGACAGGAGAGATCTGCTGCTGTGCCATGTGGACCAGCTCCTGGACAGGCTAGAGTCCTTGCTGTCACAGGACTGACTTGCTTTTCTTTGAACGGATACTGAATAACATGGTAGTTATAAAACAGGCTGGAAGCAGATTCCCTCATCCATGTCCTATCTCTGATAGACTAGCTATGTGATCTTGACCCAGTCTCCTGTTACTTATAGACCTGTTTACTCATTTGCAAAATGGACCCTTTTCACAAGATTGTGAGGTGACTTCAGTGGGACAGAGTTTGGAATAGATTTGGAATGAAGCCTCTAAACTTTACCTATTATTATTTTTAAAGATTTGTGTTATTTATTTATGTACACAAGAGCTGGGGTATAGGCCATAGGTGCAGGAGGGTCCACCAGAGACAGAGTGGGGGAGCAGAACAGGGAGACTGACTAAAATACACTGCTGAGGGGAGCAGTGGGTAAGACAGGAGAGGTCTGCTATACCACGTGGGTCAGCTCCCTGACTGGGGGTTGAACTTGTGCTTCAGTGGCTGCAGATAGCTTCATACTGCTGGTGTTTAACCCCTCTAACACCAGGGAGGCCCTAAACTTTCCCTATTATTATCCTTCCTAATGGTATGCATGTCTTATCAGTCCCCAGTACAGTTATTTTCACTAAGTGTGTGTTGAATGAATAGGTCACTGAACACAGTACATACTTGGTAGCCAAATAAGATTTCAGTTGACAGCACAGAACAGGAAGAAAATGGTGGGTAGCATCAGATAGGGGATCAAGGAAAAGCTCTTGGAGTTGACAGTGGCATCACGTCTCCTTTGGTTACAGGACCCTGAAGACCTACTGGGTGAGTAAAGGCAGTGCCTTCAGCACCACCATTTCCAAGCAGGAGACAGAACTGAGCCCAGAGATGATCTCCAGGTAGGAGTGTCGCCTGGGATCAGGAATAGGTGGGAAGGTCATGAGCAGCCCCCACAAGACTTTCATGTACACTGCACGTATCCCACAGTGGCTCCTGGAGGGATCGGCCCTTCAAGCCCTACAACTTCTTGGCCCATGGTGTCCTCCCAGACAGTGGCCATCTACACCCTCTGCTCAAGGTCCGCACACAGTTCCGGCAGATCTTCCTGGAAATGGGGTGAGGTGCTGGGCCAGGGGTAGGGCGGTCCTGTGGGTAGGCACAGGCAGGGCAATCAGGCTGTTTCTGCCACCAGGTTCACTGAGATGCCCACTGACAACTTCATCGAGAGCTCCTTCTGGAACTTTGATGCTCTCTTTCAACCTCAGCAGCACCCAGCACGAGACCAGCATGATACCTTCTTCTTGCAAGGTGGGTGAGCCCTGTGGGTCTAGTTGTCCCCCATCAGAGTTGCCAGATTTGGGTGGAAGCTTTCCAAGTAATTTATCAATTGAATTATCATCAGTCCAATGGGGCCTATGTGAGCTGGTTCCATTAACCTCTGTGATCTCCCACTTTCCTTCCTGCCCACCATAGGGCCTTTGCCCATGTTGCACCTTCTACTGAGAATTGTCTTCTCCCAGATCTTCAAGGTGAGATCTGACATCAAATCTGCTCAGGTGTCATTTCAGAGAGACCACCTGACGAGCTTCTTGTCCCCCCAAATTCTCAAAAACTCCTCAATCTTAGTCTTCAATCTTGGTTTCTGTTTCTTTCTGTTGTAGTTGTTAGTACTATCATATATATTTTTAAAAGATTTATTTATTTATGCATACAAGAACTGGGGTACAGGCCAGAGGTGTAGGGGGTGAGAGGATTCATCAGAGACAGAGTGGGGAGTAGAACAGGCAGGTCCACTGAAACACACTGCTGAGGGGAGCAGCAGGCAAGACAGAAGAGGTCTGTTGCGCCATGTGGGTCACCTCCCTGGCTAGGATCAAACTCATGCTGTAGTGGCTGTAGACAGCTTCATAGTGCTGTGACAACCCTTTGCGCCACCAGGGAAGCCCAATGCTATCTTACATTGAGTGATTTTCCAGTGGATGTCATGTCCCCACAGGTGGTGGAAGGACAATAGTGTCATTGGGAGCAGTAATGTCATTGCTGTGGTCACAATTGTGACATCCAAAGTGTTCCACTTACTTTTCTGGTCTTCCTGTTACCTAGAGAAAATGGTGCTGCTAACTCCTTTCTTTTAAAGAAAAAATGGGGTGCAGGCCAGAGGTGGGGGTGGTGAGAGGATTCACCAGAGACAGGGTGAGAAGCAGGCGGTGAGACAGGAGAGGTCAGCTAGGCCACATGGGCCCGCTCCCTGGCAGGGTTGAACTCAGGTCTTCAAGGTGGGCCTTTGCAGTGGTAGTGGTGAACTTAACCCCTAGGTCATTAGGGAGGCCTTGCTCTGAGTAGTCTGTTTGTAAGTAGTAGAGCTTGGATTCCACCAGGCTTTCAGGCATACCAAAATTGTCCCTGAAGATCTTAAAAACGAGCAATTAAAATGAAAAGTTCTTAGCCCCTCCTTTGTGCTAAGGTCTTTGTTACACACTTGGGTCACAGCTATGCACAGGACAATCTCCCCTAGTGAGAGAGAGAGAGTGTTAAATTTTGACCATTTATCTCCTCCAGTGGGATAGACAATAGTAAATGCCATGGGAAAAAACTGGTGTGTGTGTGGGGGGTGTGTGTATGTGTGTGTTGTGGGGTATGAAGAGGTGGGCTGTCCATTTTATTATTTTTTAAAGATTTATTTATACATACAAGAACTGGGGTACAGAATAGGGAACAGAAAAGGCAGATCTACTGAAATACACAGCTGAGGGGAGCAGTAGGTGGGTCAGGAGAGGTCTGTAGCGCCATGTGGGTCACCTTCCTGACCAGGGATAGAACTCATGCTGCAGTGGCTGTGGATAGCTTCACAGTGCTGCACTTTAACCCCTGTGCCACCAGGGAAGCCCCCTGGATTGTCAGTGTAAAGTAAAATCTTTGCTTATGGGAGATGGCGGAAGGGGAGGGAGAGATCTATATCAAAGAAAGGAGGTTTCAGGCAGAGGGAATGACCAGTGCAAAGGTTGGAATGTCTGGTATTCTTACACACCATCCAGTAAGCCCTGTAGCTGATCAGAATGATCAGTTAGGAGCAGGAGAAGATGAGGGCATGTAGATGATGGGACACTGTACCCTGTGTCATGACCACGGGGGACTTTGGTTTTATTTTTCTCTTCCACAAAGGTAGGAGCCGGAGCCAGGTTTTGGGCAGAGAAGGATGGGTCTGACTTAGGTTTTCCCAGGTTCCCAGGGTTGAGCCACCCCTTTTGGTGGCTGTTGGAGAAATGTCTTTTGACTGACCAGATCATGATCTCTGCTGACCAGATCCAGCCGAGGCCCCACAGCTCCCAATGGACTATGTCAGTCGGGTCAAGCGGACTCATTCTCAAGGTGGTTACGGCTCACAGGGGTGAGTGAAGCAGGACTTCGGGGGTGTTGTGAAGAAGGAAGCTGGCGTCTAAAGTCCACATTTCAGACTTCCAGGGTTTTCTCCTAAAGGTACAAATACAACTGGAAGCTGGATGAAGCCCGGAAAAATTTGCTACGCACACACACCACGTCAGCTAGTGCCCGAGCTCTCTACCGCCTTGCCCAGAAGGTTTGATTTTGGTTTGAGCACCTCAGGGTGGAGGTGGGGCAGCAGGGATATGACTGTCATAGCATTCTTCTGGTCTGTACCTGGCTGGGTCTGCTCGTCACCCACAGAAGCCCTTCATGCCAGTCAAGTACTTCTCCATTGATCGTGTGTTCCGGAACGAAACCCTGGACTCAACACACTTGGCTGAGTTCCATCAAATTGAGGGTGTTGTGGCTGATCACGGCCTTACCCTGGGCCACCTCATGGGTGTTCTCCGGGAGTTCTTCACCAAGCTGGGTGAGTAGGCAGCTGGGGCTGGTGGTTGTCAGTAGGGCCACGGAAGAGTGCCTTCTCGATCACTATCCTTATCCTTTACCCCTTGGCTTGCTTGCTTACTCAGGTATCACCCAGCTTCGCTTCAAGCCAGCCTACAATCCCTATACAGAACCTAGCATGGAGGTGTTCAGCTACCATCAAGGTAAGATTGGGGCTTAGGTCCTCAGCCAGGGTGGGAGGGAAGCTGCCCACAGCTCAGCCCCAGTCCCTTCACTCAGGCCTGTAGCTTGTCTTCTGAACTGCCAGGCCCAAAATTACCCACATGAGCTACTCCATTTTCCTCTCATGCCACAGGCCTAAAGAAGTGGGTGGAGGTCGGGAACTCTGGTCTCTTCCGCCCTGAGATGTTGCTACCGATGGGGCTCCCTGAGAATGTGTCAGTCATTGCCTGGGGCCTCTCTTTGGAGCGGTGAGTATGTCTGCCTACTTCCCTCAGCTGCTGTCAATTAATTTTCATTATCCATTCAACAAACCTTTAGTGAGCACTTAGTACATACCAAAGTCTAAAGTACTTTAAGAATAGTAAGTGCCACAGAGAAAAACATGACAGGCAGGGCTAGGGAGACAAGGTAGCCAGGGAGGGCTTCAAGGAGGAGGTGGCATCTAAGCAAAGACTGGAGGGGGATAAAAGTGAGCCAGAAATATCTGGGCAAGGGCAGTGGGAACATGCTGGAGCATGTCTGCTGTGATAGAATAGCACAAAGAGGGAAAAAGAGAGGGAGTGAATAGGGGTGAGAGTGGGGAGGTGATAGCAGATGGTGCAGGACATCTGGGAGGACTTGGGCTTTTCTCCTGAGGGAGTAGGAGCCCTCAGAAAGGTTCCAATGAGAGTCTAAGATGTTAAACCATGTCCATTCCTTCCCTCTAAGCCCAACAATGATTAAATATGGTATCAACAACATCCGGGAGCTGGTGGGCCACAAGGTGAATCTGCAGATGGTGTACGATAGTCCCCTGTGCCGCCTGGATGCTGGATCAGAGCCTCCAAGGACACAGGAGGCCGCATAACATGGGCTGCCATGGATAGACCTCCCTCCCCGAGTCCCTGCTGTCCAGCCTGTGAGGTCCCTTGCCAGTGACCCTTTGTTTATGAGACTTCTTGAGGTCATACCCTCTGCCCCTGATAGCTCCTCTTCCTGAAGTGTCCCCAGGAACTGGGAATTGGGTAGTGGTTTTGTTCTGTTTCCTACCTGTGAGGATAAACACTGAGGAGCCCTGCAGGGCAGCTACCAGCTAATAAAGTTGGTCACCTTCATCTGGTGCCTTTAGGGGTGGAGGGCTCTGGTCAGCTCTCCCAAGCCCATCATGCACTTGATGGGGATAATCAAATGCTGGGGCCTTTGGTATGAGGGATGGTAGGTTGGGGGATATTGAATCTTCAGGCCAGCCTGAATTAGAAGTCCAAGGAAAGGCAGTCTCTGTCAGGCTTTTACTGATCACCAGTTGGTGTCAGGCTCTCTTCTAGAAAATGGACCTGCAATACCTGTGAAAGTGATATATGGGGGTGGGGGGGGAGTAGACAGTTTTAGAACCCCAGGTACCAAAATTCCCTCTAATTGGTGTTGAGAGGGGATGGAGCAATACAAACTTACAAAAACTGCTAGGTTACTTGTTTTTTCTAATATATATTATAGCAATTTTAGATTTGTGGCAAAATTGAATGGAAAGTACAGAGATTTCCCAAAAACCCCTCTCCCCACATCTCCATAGCTTCCCTACCTATATCCCTCTGAAGAGAAGAGTATTTATTAGAATGGGTGAACTTACACTGTCATGCAGCATTACCCAGAGTCTATAGTTAACACTGAAGTTCATTTTCTGAGATGTGTATTTTGGGGGTTTGGGCAATTATATGATTTACTCATCATAAATATCATACGGAATAGTCTCAATGCCCTAGAAATCCTCTGTGTCCCACCTCTATCCCTCTTCCCCCAAGTCACCAAAAATAATGCTACTCTTTAAAAAAAAGTTTTATAAGAATTACCGCTGAGACCAGAATAACAAAGTAGAATAAAGACCTATGAGCCTAGTGCTTAATTAGACAACGAATGGGGTCTTTTGCTGGGCGTCCAATCTATTAATTTTCTATAGGAATATTTTAAAGCAAATTCCAGACATCTGAGGGCTCAACCTACCCTAGGCTTTGCATTGCACTTTTGAAATGGACCATTTCTTCTGTAACCTCCAGGCTACTGTCACACTCGGTATTTGGCAGTCAGTTGAGGCTACTGGGCTGTGCTGGTCTGGAACCCTATGAGCACCCATCTCGTAAGGGCTCCTCAGTTAAATCTTTTGTTTGAAATTAAACAGTTAAGTCATACAGAAAGATACTTATTCAATGTGTACCTTCAGAGTTCCAGCACTTGCTCATGAGCTAAAACATACTGAGCTGCCAAATCATATAGGTGGTAGCTGACACAGGGATGAAGAAGGGAGGTTTTCAGGAGACATGATAAATAAATACTTGGGAGCAGGGGTATAAAGGCATATAGAAAAAGTGAGTAGGGTGAAGCATATATAAAGCATAATACAACAGAGGCCCAAGGATCCACCCCTAGTTTAATAGAATCTGAATATTAACTATTTGTTTTGGGTATAGCATTTTTTAGATTTATGTGACTGGTAGTGGTGAGTTTGAAGACTCCTATGGGCTTGCCCTGTGGTGGGTTTGCCTCACACAGCTGAGGTTAATACCCTCTTCTGAATTTGGTATTTATTCTCATGTGTTTTGACATATTTTCTATCTGTGTTACTTTAATGAGACATGGCTTCATTTCTATGTTTTCAGAAGTATACCAGCTGTACACTATTAAAAAAATCCTGTATCTTGTGTATTGTGTGTATCTGTGTGTGTGTGTGTGCGTGCGCACATATAATAGTGGGTTTGGATTTTTCTTGATAACCCACAAATCTTCAATTCTGATGCCTTGAGAAACAGGCATTTTATATAACTTGTGGCTATGCCATAAAATATTAATTTAACTAGTGTCTTCTAAGTGCATAGTAGGTATAAGATGTTTATAGCTGAAATTCTTATATAACCCAAGATTTCGAATGTGAACACCTATACAAAGTCGGGTTTTAAGGGTGTCAGTTTTATAATCCTTGCTATAAGAGGCAGAGCCCAGAAACAAATCCATGTCCTACAGAATATAGGTGTAAAAATGTGTGCCCTAGTCAGCCTGTGTCCTGGAAAAATGAAGCAATGTGAATAGATCTCCCTGCCTCCCTCACAGGGACTCAGCTCCACCTTCTACACCTCAGCTACACCTCCGGTGTAAATGCCTATCCCCTGCCTTGATCCCAGCTCAGCCCCTACCCATGCCTTCAGTATACCACAGGGCCTCAAACACACTGGTTTCACTCCTACCTCAGGGCCTTTGCCCACATTGTCAGATCTTGACAATTTTTGAAATTGGGTGGTGGTTCTTACTATGTTTCAGTTTGCCCATGCCAGATACAAGTTCCTTCATATGTTGCAAATATTTTCTCCCAGTTAGTGGCTCCTCGTGCGTCAATTATTAATGTTTATACTATTATACTACTGCTCTGGAAGAGCCAGATCGGGCTGTGCTTTTTTTGGAGCAGACAATGATTCAAAATGGTGTGCCACGAGGGTCAAAGCACCATGCTGTGAAGCTAGCAATAGCCACTGCAAGGCAAGTTAAATTCCCAGCCCCAGAGGTGATCCACATGAAGAGGCAGACCTCTCCCGCTGCTCCCCTCAGCGGTATATTTTTCTCTATGTAGCTGTTCTGTTCTGCACTTCGTATTTGGTGAATTCTGTGACCCGCCCCAACCCTCATCTCTGGCCTGCACCCGTTCTTGTATACATATTTTTTTTAATGGTAAATGGATAACACTGAAGGCAGTAAGTCAAAATCACGGAATAGCAAGGGTCAGAATTTTTTTGGAACCATTTCTTGGAGACGGCAGATAGAAGGAAAACTGCATCTGCCACTTAGCTCTACTCAGGTACATCCCTTCCTCGTGCGACGCCGGCTGCGCGCGCAGCTGGGGGACGGCCCAACCGCCACTTAACGACTAGCCACGCCCCACTGCGCGCGCAGGATTTTTAAAGCAAGACCGCGAAGAGCGCGCGCCGCCGCACGTGCTAGGGGGCGGGGCGGTGAGATCGGCGCATGCGTCGAGCGTGCGAACACGAAGGCGGGAAAGGAAGGGATGGAGCGACAGGGAGTATGCCGGGCTTCTCTCCTTTTATTCGGGCGGCGGGCGGTGGGCGGTGGGCGACGGGACAGGGAACGGCCGAAATCTGACTTCCCCAGAGAACCTGAGCCTGGCCACTTGTCTCCTATCATCGGAGCCACCCCTCGCCCGATTGGTCCCCAATTTCCTGACAGACCTACCTGATTCTGACTGACCGAAGGACTTATTCTGACTAACACGCGCCGACAGCCGGGGTCAGGGCAGACTTTCATGTATGGTGCGTGGCAGGAACAGGGTAGAGAAAGGTTCAGACATCCATGCGCCGTACCGTAGTCGTTTATTTTCTTTACCCCCACCTCTTCTTGAAAGCCTTGAGCTCTCCCTGCCCCCACCCCCCTTACCACAGTTAGGTATCCAGGTGCTTTGAAACCCTGTCCCCACCCAGGCTCACCCCCAATACTCTTGGGGCTTTCCCCAGCCCCGCCCATCTCTTCGGGTCCCACCCCGTGGAGTTCCAGTCAGTGCGCAGAGCTTCCGGGATTGGAGCTGGGCGGAGCCTGACCTCAGCCCTGCCGACTTCGCTTGCTGTGCTCACAGGTGAACTTGCCTGTGAACAAGAATCTGGAGCCCCTTCTGCTGGGGGAGAGCAGGGAGCAGCAGCTGGATGAGGAGAGCCGCCAAGAAGCAGCAGGACGGCGGTCAGCTAGGTGAGGAAGAACCCCGCCCTCAGATCCAAGCAGGCCCCTTTAGTTCTGCTTGTTTACCAAGGCTCGGCCAGTGTCTGCCCTTGGCATGTTTGTCCTACATACTGTTCCAGCATCCCCCACCTGTCTGACAGGGTTACAAGTGCTGGTGACAGGGCTCTCTGTGGTGGCACAATAGATTAAAGCATAGCACTATGAAGCTCTCCGAAGCCACTGCTGCACGAATTCGATCCTTGACCAGGGAGCTGACCCACATGGCATGAGAGATCTCTCCTGACCTGCCCATTGCTCCCCTCAGCAGTGTATTTCAGTGGATCCACCTGTTCAGCTCCTCACTTTGTCTCTGGTGAATCATCTCACCCTCCACACCTCTGGCCTGTACCCAAGTTCTGTATGCATAAATAAATAAATCTTTAAAGAAAAAAGTGCTGGTGACAAAGCTGACACTTGAGAAGACAGACTGTAAGCACAGGACTATATATAGCGATTGGGACGCTAAGTGCCCTCAGCGTTCAGATTACATGGGAGGATCGAGGAAGGCTTCTTGGAGACAGTGACAGGTGAATCATGATGTTAGGGAAAAGTGTGCCCCAGGCAGAGAAACAGCAGCTAAGAAGATCATCAAAGGATGGTACATCAGCAAGAGGGAGACAGTAATTAGTAGGACAACTAATGACTTTTTTTTTAAATTTTCAGTTAGAAGAACTAGGCCGGACGGTGTGTATGTGAGAGAGAGGTTTCACTGGAGAGAGTGGGGAGCAGAACAGGCAGATCTACTGAGGCAGATACTCTGCTGAGGGAAGCAGCAGGTGAGACAGGAGAAGTCTGGTGACACTTATGTGCTGTGTGGGTCAGCTCCCTGGCCAGGGATTGAACTCGTGTTGCAGTGGCTGAAGACAGCCTCATAGTGCTGACACTTAACCCCTTGCGTCACCATAGAGGCCCCTATATGTCGGTTTTTGTGTGGATAAAAGTCCTCACCTCCTTTGGGTAGATACCAAAGAACAAAATTGTTAGATTATGTGCTAAGAATATATTTGGTTTTGTAAACTTCTTCCAAAGTGTCTGTACCATTTTGCATTCCCAAATGCAATAAATGAGAGTTCTGTTGTTGCACATCCTCATTAGCATAATATTTGGTGTTCTTAGTGTTTTTAATCTTTTGCCATTCCAATCATTGTATGATAGAATCTTCTTGTGTGGATTTGCAATTTTCTGATGAAATATGAACATATTTACGTTACTTACTTGCCATCTATGTATCTTCTAGTAAGGTATCTATTCAAAACTTTTTTTAAAAAGATTTATTTATGGCCCTCCCTGGTGGCGCAGCGGGTTAAAGCACTGCACTGAGAAGCTAAAGCCACTTCCGCATGAGTTCGATTCCCGCCTGCCCCGGAGGTGACCACATGGTGTGGCAGACCTCTCCTGACCCGCCCGCTGCTCCCCTCAGCAGTGTACTTCGTCGATCTGCCTGTTCTGCTCCCCACTCTGTCTCTGGTGAAGCCTCTCACCGCCCCGAGCCTCTGGCCTGTACCCCAGTTCTGTATGCATAAATAAATAAATCTTAAAAAAAAAAGATTTATTTATGCTTATAAGAGCTGGGGTATAGGCCAGGGAACAGAAAAAGCATATCTACTGAAATACACTGCTGAGGGGAGCAGCAGGCTAAACAGGAGAGGTCTGCTGTGCCATGTGGGTCACTTCCCTAGCCAGGCTGGAACTTGTGGTGCAGTGGCTGCTCATAGCTTCATAGTGCTGAGATTTAACCCTTTACTCCACCAGAGAGGTCCCACTTAGGTTTTCTTTTATGATAACTGCTAGGAATTTTATAATTTTTGTTTTACATTTAGGTCTGATACTTTTTTCTTTAAATATTTTAATTATTTATTCATACAAGAACTGGGATACATGCCAGGGGTGTGGAGGGTTAGAGGATTCACTAGAAACAAAATAGGGTGCAGCACGGAGGGGACTGAATCAGTTGCTAAATGCTAACCAGAACACCACTGCTCCCCACTGTGCTTTCTAACAGGTGGTGGTTTCACTGAGTTGTTTTGCCCTTGTTAAATTTGAGGTGACCAGGGATATCCATGTGAACATGTGTCCATCCACACCCAGAAATAGGGGCAGGGGTTGGAGATGAAGCTCTGAGGCGAAGGAGTTCACCAGGGAGGGAGACCGAGCTCAAGTACTACAGAGTTCTAAAGACTCCAGGCATAAAACCAGCCTTCCATAACCTCTCAGATTCCTCAGTTGTAAAACAAGCCATAGACTGGGATAGTTTCTAGATGTGCCTTACCAAACAAAGGCCAGAAAAAAAGAAATGACCAAAGTCATTTGTTTGATTTGTCTTCCCACAAATAGCATATTTAGACCCAGTTCTAAGTGGCAAGGAGATACAAATAATTTTTGTGTGTTATCATTTAGAGACTTCAGGGAGTTCCACAAAAGCTTTGGGCCAAAAACAAGGTTAATTAGAAACTAATGCAAAGACCAGTTAATAGACCAGCAGCAGACAGCGATTAAAATGTGAACATATTTTGGGAGAGAAAAGCAAAGGATGAGGATTTAAAGCTTCCCCCTTCATAGCTGTACTTCAGCAAAACATCATTTTACCTCAGTGAGTGAGCCAGAAAGTGTTGTGTTCCTCCTTGAATGTTTGATTAGCTTGCCTTCCCTTTTGGGACTGCTGCCTACGGTGGTCCTAAGTGGCTGGTGGATTGTTTACTTGTATATCTGTTAGAGGCCACAGAGGGAGGGCCCACCAGTGAGTGGCTCTGGCTCATATACCTGCCAATCATAGCTTTACCTGGAGTGAACAGATGGTCTCTCTGCTTAGACCCATTTTCTCCGACATTACCAGGCCCCCTGCCAACCTGGGCCCTGCTCTGGAACTCTGTTCTAATCCTCACAGCTGAACTAGGGACTTCTTTGAAGGACAGACTATAACAGATGA